GTCACGGCTGCCGCTCACCTTTAGCCTGGGTTTGTCTTTAATTATTGTCAGGGAGGAACACATAGCCCAGCTCATCAACTGGATAAATATTTGACCGCTGTTCCATAAATTGGCATGGGGGGGGGGGGTTATTTTAACGACGCATTCTCTCCCAGCCAGCCGCCATGCGCCGAGCGATGCACTGTGAATTGGCTCTCTGCAGGTGACCACAGCTCATCTCGGCATGTGGTAAATTAAAACTCACATTTCGGTTCAGGAAACGAGAGATTTCATACACTGAATACCCTGAATTTTGTCTTATTTAATTATAACCTATGTCAAAGCCTAATCTAGGAAGCTTAGGCGGGGCATCCGATTAATCAAGGAATAGGTGTGTTTGTGGAGTGTGGGGGAGCATGCAGGGAACTGTGTGTGTGCATATATAGATATTTATATTTTTGTTCTGTGCGTGCGCGACAGAAGTAATTATTATATGAATATGGGAGCATATTTTGACTTTGTTGGTGCATCATCATGCGGCTGCGAGAAAAAAAAAGTGATCTCCCTCAATCCACGTGGTTTCACTAACAGGCCTCAGGGGTCCGCGCTGCTCACCATGTGAGCGGGCTCAAAGCAGGACATAACAGTTAACAACTACGGATCCCGCTGCGATTTTAGCCAGCATCGCTTTCGCTTGGCTTATGGTTTTATGCTAATCGCAAATCTGCGAAGGATCATAGAAATCCAAACAGTCTCTGATTATCATTCCACGTTGGACGACGAGGGCAGCAGAGGACGAAGGAGACGCAAAACTTTCAGGGGTGGAAATGCAACATTAGCAGAAAAGTCGCTGGGGTTAGTGGGTATTTTGGGTTCGTATGAAAAAGCAGACCGTTTGTCTGAGGCGTTAAAGCCGCTACTCCTGATTCACAGTTGCAGCGGCGGTGTGAGTTTTCTCACACTGAAGGTTCCAGATGGCATACGCAGCTGCAAGTCCTCTCTGTCACGAACTTGTAGCGTTGCGTCAATTTTCACAATATAAGACAACTCCTCTGTAAGTCTGAGTGGCACGTAAATGTAAATTAGCGCGTCGTCACTCACTCCCGCGGTGTAAAATGTCATAATGAGGGATGTGTTTGTTCCGTGTGTTGTGATGCCGCAGAGATTAAGAGGGGGCTAATAAGAGGAGGGCATGGTTGCGGCGTGCAACATATCGACGTGGGAGTGTTCCGCGTACAGCGCGTTCCTCACATCAAGTGGTCTCTGCGTTTAGACCGACGTTCTAAACCACATCAAAATCTGTTATATCAAGACATCAACACATGGCACATGAGTAATGAGCCTAACTGATGGGTCCAACACAGCTTCTGTCTCGGCGACTTCCGCTGATCCTCAATAAAGTTAAATGAATCGCAGATGACTTCAGACTTCAACTTTGATCTAATATTCCTCCAGGAGCCTGGCGGAAGCCATCTCACATCCTCTCTGGAGCTGTGGCGTAGGCGTCTTCTGGCTGTTTTTCGACGCCAGCAGTAATCGTCAATCACCTGCTATCCTCTTTCCGTATGGAGGGATACATATTTATGAAGTCCGGGGCGTTCGTGTGAACATTCACGACTGATTATGCGTGCCTTTCTCGCTCCAAACTTGGAGTCCAGATATGCCGTTATACGAGCGGAAAGCCGGTCGTTATTCAACCAGCAGAGCGCTCGCTCCTTGAGGAACGGCTTGTTTGTTTGCGTTGAAACAGTAATCCACTGCAGTAACAGGCTTCACCATGATCATAGAGAGATTTTTCTTTAATGAATCCATCAATTCATGGCCTATTCATGTCTATCCCCCCCGTCCAGATGGAGCGCTTCAAACCGCCGGACACAAAAGTCTGCTTCCTTTGACAGCTGGACCAATAAAAGGTTGAGTGTTTTGATCAGACGGCCTCAAACAATCCTTTACTTGGAGAGAAGAAGAAAAAAGGACTTACCATAATGCCATTAATCATGTGAGGGCGTTATGGTTCAGCCGGCGTCACGGTCGGCTTCAAAAAGCCTCACTTATTAAGTTCTACTCATTCTGCACGGACTTGCGTGTAAAACCTGTGAAGGCTTGATCTGGCACAGGTGCTGGTTGTTGCAGGTCAAAGCGACACCTCGACTCTTTTGCTCGGCCATTAAAGTGGACGCAGAGGCCAACGCGGGCCGAGTTTTTGCATCTCTAGTAGAGTCGCAGCCCCGCTAAGGAATAAGCTTGTTAGTTAATAATTAGAGGTGTTATTATACTACGGATATTTCTCTTTTTCCACTTAAGTTTTTGCAACTTTTACTTTGTTACAAAAAAAAAATCTAATGTGGTTGGCATGATGATAGGGGAGCTCACTGGTAATGATAAAGGTGTACAAGGAAAACTAAATCCGGACTGTCGTGTGTATGCGTGTGTGCAATGCAAAGCCACAAACGGAAATGCGCGTTGGTCCGGGGGCCCGTTTCCGTCCTCTCTCCTGGTAAAAAAGGCTCGTTTTGCGGCGAGCGCACCAACCGAGCCGGCGCTTCCCTCCAACCGCGACAACGCTGCAGCAATCAGGCCGGCTGCCAGCCAGACGAACGGATGAAGTCAACAGAGAGACGTTTCCTTCTGTCTTCTGAGACGTGACTGCAACAGATGCACGGCGCTTGACACCGACGCTCGACACAGTGTGACAGCCTACTGTGTCTACGCAGCCGGCTCCTCTCTGGCTTATTTTGAAGTGGGGCGTGGGGGGGGGGTTGACACTATGCACATGATCACACACAAGATAATGTTTGTCAGCAGCGACAGCGATGTCACCGTGTAAGAGAGACAAAGACAGACGGCAGGGGTTGATTTCACGGTGCAGTCACGCTGCGTGTACAGTCCCTCAAAGAGACTCCCACATGGAAGTCTCTTTGAGGGGCGACGGGGGGGGGGGGGGCTTTGATTTGCTCAGTACATGATTCAACATCCGGGGGGCGGGGGAGTGAACTATGGCCAATACACATTGCAAGGTCAAAATCCTATTACTTAAATGCGATTGTATCCCTGATTTTCTTCTCGCAGGCCCCATCTCTCAAATATAGCTCCACATCGGCACCCGGATAAGCTCGCTGAGAGCGCTGCATGCTGGTTAACAGAGTTCTTGGCTCGGAGCAGCTCCAGGGGATGGAGTGAGGGAGTATCTGGATCCAGGTAATTACAGTCGGAGGGGGCACAGAGGTCCTTTGTGATTACACATCAGCCCCGTAATGGATTCAACACTTATAGACAGAGAGTGAGGGAGCGAGAGTGAGAAAGACGCGTTCCTTACCTTCCCATCGTGAAAGCAGGGGACGGGCAGCTGGGAGCAGGCAGGGTGGGGCGGTGTAGGTAGGTATATCTGCAAGATGGATTACGTGGGGTTTGCAGAGTTCAACATTGACACAGATTCATCGTAAATCATTATGCCGGGGACCCGGAGTGATTTCTGCATTAGGAGCAGAAAATGGAGTTCAGCCAGTCAATGAGGGAGGGCATATTTCACATCAATCACCTCCACGCTCTCATGTTTCCAAGGCTTAAATCTCACTTATAGTGTTACCAATAGGGTTCAATGGCTATGATGGCAATCAGCTAGACACCGCACTAACAATACCCTACTGACTATACAGAGGACACAGCATGATCAGCTCTGCCGCCATTTATCCAAAGGGAATTACATGAATTGAAAGTGAGAAAAAGTGAAAGATGATATTGGTGCAAAAGAGGTTGTTTGTATTATAATTCCGGCCTGGCCTATATTTATAGTTATTTGCGAACTTTCCAGCTGACTTCCAGGTTTGCTCTTATTCTTCATCGAAAGAGTTTCGGCCAGGGGACCAGGATCCAACCAGCGGGACTTCAGATACTGGAGGTTTCAATGAAGCACAAGTTGCAGACAAAGGAATTGTACAGTATGTTACAGAGAAGACTATTGGGAGTTCTGTCTACAAAACCACAGACAGTGTGCATGATTATTTAAATCTGATTTGCAGCTGAAGCGTCTGAGACCCTACACAACACTTTCGTGGCATGTTGAGATTGTAGAACAACTTGTTGTTTATTCAAGGAAAACTTGTTTTCCACAGGAGAGACATCTGTGGCCAAACCGTTGTAGATCGCACCCACAATCCTACGATCAGGAGTCTCACGCTGCAACGACTGAGCTCGCTGACACAACAAAACAAGGTCATGAGTTTCAACAGCCCCCTCGGTGACAGTCTTGTGTACACAAGACTACTGTTCTAGACACTTAAGTACTGATATCAGTGGTGTGTCAGGATGGCTGAGTGGTCCAAGGCACCAGACTTGAGGGTAGACTCCTTTCTCAAAAAAGAGACTTCCATCCTCCATGTGAAGGTGTGGGTTCAAATCCCACTTCATGTTCTACCTGCAGGTTTCATCGTTGGAGTTTGCCGTTACCATGTTGTACCATAAGTCAGAAAACAAAATTGCTCCATGGTGGCTGTAGTTGGTGTTAGAATCAAGCCGTCCCTCAGCATCATCACAGGAAATTTCATTTCATTAGGTGTAAAGGTGATTAAACAATTTATGTTTATTGGTTTTTAATGTCATTGACTTGCTTTATATAGCATATTGCTGCCACTTAAATTATATTTTTTGTTGTTTTGTGATTTATTGTTTCATTTCTGTTTGGACTTCTTATTTGTTCTTCCTTTAACTCCTGTTAACAATTAACAATGTCATTGTGCTGCCACAACAACCAGTTTATGTTAGTTTATGTCAGAAGTGTTTAAACCATTTCACACAAAAGAATCCAGTATTTTTTTTCCAAACTTGAAGCTGAAGAGGTATTTTTCTAACTTTGGAAATCTTATTTATTAGGAAAAATAAAGAAAGCATATATCAAACACATGTCCTTCATTCGCGGAAATCACATGACAAGCCCTCGTGATAACAAGACCACGTGGGAACCATTTCAATGCAAATGACAAGTGAGCAAAACTGTGATTTATTTTCTACACGTCACATCTGTATTTATTGTTTAACAACAAAGAAGAAGCCACTAATATGATTCTACGACACCAGAAGCTTATGACATCATATTATGTAACACACCTTTTAGAGAACAGCCGTGTACATCGAAAACAGTTTTTTCATTTTTCACTTCTGCCCAACTTTATTCCTCGGCACACATGTTCAGGGAGGGCTTTGTCCACTTCCCTGCGCCGAGGGGAAGTGAAAGGAGAGAAGAGCGGCTCCACAGCAGGAATCCGGATATGATGAAAATGTTTGAGGCGCAACTATCCTCAGCAAACTGACTTACCGCCACGGAACGTCGACCGCGTCGACAGGACTATTATTGCTATTTTGTCAACAACATCTGGACGAAGTTGGAAGTCGGAGTTGCTAAAGTTTCCCGGAGGAGAAGAAGGAAAGTTTCTATCTAACCCAGTTTCGTCTGGTTTCCTTATCCCTTCAAAGTTTTCGAGAAAGGAGTCGGAGGAAGGAAGGAAGCAAGCAAGAAAGGAAGGAAGGATGGGAATACGTCCAGCGTAAAGCGTTGCCATGTTTGAAAGGTAAGTTATGCTTATAGACAATACAGCCGCTTTGGATATAAACAGCACGTTACTTCGCTTTTTGATAAAAAAAAGAAGAGAGTGTGTGTGTGTGTGTGTGTGTGTGTGTGCGCGAGAACAAGCGGAGTCTTTCAGCGAGTTTGTGTGAAATGCGCGTGCTGGGGGAAATTTCCACTAAGTTTTACTGCGGCTCGACGTCACCTTTTGTCGGCGCGTGAACGAGCAGACGACAGTCTCCGTTTGAGGAATGACACCTTGTTGCTTTGTGTCTCCAAGCCGGAGCTGATGATGAGACATTGGCTTTCACCGCGCTGAAGGAAAGGGAGGTTCCTGTCTGTGTCCCAAAAAGACGAGTGTCTCATGTCCAACGACACCGTCCCTCCTCCGGATGGACCGGCAGGGCCAGGGAGGGGCCCTCAGCAAGAGACAAGTCCCCTACTGTCAGCCTCTCAAGGTAAGGCCACATGGCAAAGGCCACCGAGTCACCGAGTATGGGGAATAATATCCAAATGAAGGGGGCCTTGGGAGGTTCCCAGAGGTCCTTTTTTTTAGTGAAATGTAATACAACGGATATTTGGTGGAAGGAGAGTTGAGGAAAAACCTCCCAATGGTGCAAATGTGTCTTTGCACACATGACAACACGGTTCCTGCTGTCCTATGCTCGGCGCCGTCGCATGCATCTAACTTATTGACCTCTCTCTCTTCTTATCACCACGCAGCCAGTGCAGTGGCAGTGAAGCGTCGCTATAAATAACGGAGACATATTCCATCAACAACTTGTGTTGTTTATAGAGTCAAACGGGGTAGAAGGTGAGAGAAGCAACGCATGGAGAAAATTAGTCATCAACCGCGTTAACAGACTACTGGTGCATATCGGCAAAATCAGCCTTGTCTTTGTAAGTACACATCAGGATGTGAGCTTGGTGTTAAGCCTTGATAATTCTTTTGCTTTTTTCCCTCCTCAATAAAGTCTACAGAAACGCCCTGCTGACTATTAACAGCAACCACAGCCAATTATAGTTTTTAATTAACTTTCTAGTTGCCCCTAAGATTATCACATGTAAAATAAGCTTACCCCCACACCCCCTTTTCATTTTTCTTCAAACAAGCAATGAACCGTTAACCATCCTATTTATACCAAGCATCATTATGGCACTGTCAAAAAATAGCAAAGTAGGACAAAGTAAGCAATCACTGGGGCTGCTGGATTGCGAATGGATTTTCGCTGGACCTTCAAAGGCGCTCGCAGTTAAGACTGGATTTCCCCTCTCAGGGGACTGTGGATGTACTGAGAATAGACCAATTTATTTCTAACTGTGATCACTAAATACCGCGATGCATCACGCGGCGCTGCTAACGCAACCGCCGCTACCATACATCAGCGGCAAGCTGAAATATGTGCCGCACCTACCCGGGTGTGCTGTTCTGAGCCCATCTGTTCCACCCACCCCCCCGCCAACCCCCGTCACTGCTTACAAACAGAGATTGTTGCAGCATCGCAAACAAGCGCGCCCAGCGTCGCTATACGAGGCCGCTAGCTCTCGCTGAAGCCTTCCTCACCGTTTTTTTTTCCGCCTTCTTTTTCTTTTGAATCAGATCGCAATTGGCTGTGTGACGTAACTTGAAAGCTATGTGAAAAATAAAAAGAATCCAAATAAGCTATGAGCAGGCATCTGGCACCACACCAGCAAATAAAGCCACTGCGCAGGGTTCTTTTACCGGACAAAGCGGCAGTGTGCCATGACCAAAGCGTCTGCCAGCCTTGAAGCCCAAAAGGAGCCGGCTCAGAGAGACGAGCGAAGAAAAACCCGTCTCTCGTGTTTGTTTTATTTTTCGCTCAGCTATCTGGCCGCGAGTCTTTAGGCCGCATACTCGTTCCGATTTTAGATGAATGCAGCCTTTATGGCAGCAAGGGGAAGCTTGGCAGGTAGCGCGGCACCCAGGAGCCGAAGGAGAGAAAATGAGATCCAGAGGTCTGGCAGGGCCTTTACCTGAACCGCCCCGCCATCTTGTGCAAGCGTTTGCCGGCGGCCTGTGTTTTTTTTTCTCTGGCCAAGCCCTCTGCACCTCTGGCTCTTCTTTACTTTGTCCACTGCGGCTGCCCTCGCAGTAACAGTCGACTCAGTTCGGAGGCGTGGCTTTAATGCAAGCTCATTTGGTACATTTGATTCTATAGTTCTGCAGGACAGCAACCGGTGCGCCTTCTTTGGCTCCCTGCACAGCACCCTGGTAATCCATAATAATGATTATTATTGTGATGCAATAAGTCTCAAGCCCTTGACATGCAATGCTTGTGACCCCCAGATGCCTGCGACAGTGAACCGTCGGGAAGAACGCCGTCTCCAAGGAAACCGGCCGCCGAAAGGCCGAGGCTCGCGACAGAGGGGACGGCAGATGAGCCCGTAAGAAGTAAGTTTTCCCAGCGTGGCGAACAGAAGTGACGTCTTAGAGCACGTGTGTCAAACCCGCGGGCCGCGGGGCCGAATCCGGATGACTTTACAGAACGCTTCTGACAAACGAGCCACCTCGTCGGCCGCCGTATCGCTTCTCTTTGTTTTTCTGCATTTCATAATCTGATTTTATTTAACTTGGAAGCCTGTGTTGAAACTCTGAAATAATCAAGATTCAACAAAACAATTATTTGGCCTTGAACCGCTCGAGTTCCGAGCAGCTCTAATTAAGTCCCCCGTGCACTCTTGCTCGGTGCAATGATTTCATATGGATTGCAGGTCACAAAAACAAAACCGACTAAAACCTTTGCATCTGTGTATGTGCGTGTTTTATTGTTTTTAAGGAGAGTGAGATGTGTCAGCAAAGGCTAATAGCAGCTGATTGCTTCCATCCCTGTAAGTGCCAGGCTATAATAAGGATTGTGTTTGCTTCTGCCACAACAGTTCTTTTGTTTCTAGGTTGTTAACTTTTCCAGGGCGCCTTTTTACTGCCTGTTTTTTTTTTTTTTGGGGGGGGGATCAAGCTTAATGACTTGCCCGTGGCTTGTTTACCGAATCAGTGAGGAAAAGAGATTACTAAAAACAGAACGCTTGTGTCAAGAGGTCTTTCCATCTTGGCAGATGTGTGTGGAGCATTGCACTTCTTCTTCAGGGAGGCATGCGTTTCTTTCATCTCCGCAGATAAGCCCCTGTGACAACAGTTTTGCGTCGTAATTGATGTCGACCCCCCCCCCCCCCCCAACTCCTCTTTTTCTTTTTTGTTTGGGGGTAAAACAAAACTTTTTTTTTTTTTTAATTGGAAGGGGGGGGGAACTCAAGTTAACCCGGAAATGTCACAACATTACTGGGGGTGTGGTTTTTGAGGGGACCAATCCGAATTGCTTGCTTGCTGGTGGGATAATTGAGAGCCCTCTTCTCCCACAGAAACAGGAAATCAATACCAAATCATCTGCCTGCCTACATCCTGCCCCCCCCCCCCCCTCTCTACCCCACCGGCTGTCCAATTGAAAGCTTGTGTACAGTATGTGGACGCCGACTTTTCACAACAAGAGGAAGCCTGTCGTAATCCTGTAACAACAGCACCATCTCCCATTACTGGCAGGGTGACATTATTTTGACAAGTTTTTGTCTTTTCCAACCAAAGGGTCCACTCAAAGCGGGAACGTGCACACGGCTGCGGGTGCGTAGCTTTAAAACGTTTTTAAACGTAAAGTTTCTTTTTTCATTTTCAGCGGCTCACAGCATGCATCTCTTTTCTCAACGCGAGAGTATTTAACGGGGAGTAACCGAACCAGGCCAAACAATTAATCATCAGGTGTGACCTAAAAAGCTGAGTTCACGGGGGGAAACAGACGCCTGGTGGCTGCCTGGGTAGCCGTCCAACCACTGCCGAGAAAAGTTTTGCCCTTTCTGGGCCGTTGTTTAGTGAGTTAGTTCCTCTGTGGGTCCTCCATCCTGGGGGAGGAGAGGGGTCCTTGTGGGGGAGACGGTTGTTCCTCAAGAGGCCGTTCCGGGTCTTCAAGCCGCTGATATCTCTTGCAAACAGGACCTCGGCACTTCCGAATAAATTCCTCTCAATCCGGCACCAGTTTTACGTTTAATCGTCGCATTTTTTTATGCTTCTGTGTTTGATACAAGATGACCTCAATAGCTTTTTTTTTAATCTCAGGATAATTCTGTATTGAGAAAGGAAGGTCAAATGACATGACTGTTTTTTTTTTTTCTTAAAGGAAGACATTAGTCTGGCCTTTGTGTGACTGCCTGATTGGACTCTTTAGCGGCACACCTTCAAGGTTATTCCCCGTGTGCAGAATTGACCTTTTTGGAAGGGAATTTGTGACCCCTGATAAATGCAGTAAAAAGGATTGTTTAACGGGGCAGAGTTTTGCACTTGGGCCGTTTTTCTTGCAAGAAAAGATTCCTTGACAGTGCTACAATTTCAGATTTCTATGCAACCCTGTAAAGTCTTCTGATACCTGACAGTTGGCAGAGTTGGACGCAGATAAAATAAAGGGCAAGCCCCTCTTCATCATTAAAATCATGAGTGTTGAATCAACATTCTCAGGCTGTCACGCTTTGCCTCATGTATATTCCAAAGTTGCTTAAGTGCTTAAAGACTTTTTAACCTCCTGCCAGTTTTGGCAGTTTGTTTTTTTTGAAGCCATAGGAAGCGCACAGTGATTGTTGTTATGCAAGGTTCATATCTCTATTGTAATCCGCAGAGCCCTGTCTCTGCAGAAATAATTTGTCTAAAGCACAGAACTATTATAACGGAACTGTAATTTTCAAGTGATTACTTACCAGTGGGTCATGGAATCAAAATCTGTATAAATAGGGTGAAACGCTAGGGTAGGGGTTGATTAAAATGGCCATTGTAATTCTACCTCTGTTGTAATTATTTTGTCATTGTCTTGGTGCAGATAGATTTCATATGGGAAATTTCAAGTGTGTTCATTAGCATATTTTATCCAAAGTGCCCGAGCATATTCACTGTTAATTCTTTTTAAAAAAGATTTTCAAAACACTTGCGCCGAATGGCGATAGAGATGCTTACCTCAATTCATGGACTGCAGTCTTTTAAGCACTTGTGTAATAAGGCGACATGTATGGAAGGTGTGTATATTTTTCCTATTATATTGCAGATAATATGAATAGTAATCTTTTTTTTAACACAATTGACCTTTGTGTCCAACTAGTTATTTTTCAGCATGCAATCTTCAGATCTTTTACTTGCACGACAGTAGCAAACCAAAGTATATAAATTGTAGATGTATAACTGTGCTTATTGTAGCTATATAATAGTACAGCGGTGTATATTTGCATGGATAGTAAGTGGTAAAATATGTATATGTTTTTTGCTCATTTTGTTAAGAACTTTCACTAATACTGCAGTTGTTGGAGTTGATACAACCTTCAGCTACTTTCTCTCCAAATAAATCTGTAATAATGCATTAAATTATACATCGTACACAAATCCCAGATACCAGTCCGACTGCTCTAATGTTTACTAACCGCAGAGCGGGAGAGAGAAAAGGTGGTGCAGGTGGGGGGGAGAGGGGGATTACTTGGCCTCTAACAGGATTTGGGCTCCAACATTAAGGTTAAAACCCTTTTCTATTACTGAGATCTCTGCTGATGTTGCCCCCCCCCCCCCCCCCCTTTTTCCCATGGTTTCAGGTCCTTGGCCCCTTTGGGTTTGCAGGTTCAGGGCCCCTCTGCCAAGTCATTTTGTCAAGGCCCCTTGATCAGGGGAGGGTGACCGGGGGACACAGGCCCCGGGTAAGGTGAACCCCCCCCCCCCCCCCTATCCCGCCCGAGGGCTCTTTTTTTTAAGAGGAAAAAAAAAACAAAAGTGGGGGGCCCCGGGGCAAAAACACCGCTCAAAGGCAGACGAGCACCTCTGTCCCGACGGCTGATCTCTCAGCTTAAGGCCCTTGATTGCATCCGAAGACCGAAGCCGCTGACCACAGCTGTCCCATTAGCAGAGGGTTAATGCTGAGATAGATGCTGAGCAAATAAAGGAACTAGGTGCGGGGGGGGGGGCATTTTGATAGACTGTCTATCCCCTCTCTGACCCGGAAACGGACCTCGGTTGTATTTTGGCTTTTAGGGAGTAGTTGAGCTACTGCCTGATCCCTCGTCTCTGACTGCGGCAGCGGATGCACACAGTGTTTATTGGGTGTGTGCGTGTGTGCGGTTGACTCCATGTCTGCCGCTTTGCATGCGCATGCCTGCTTTGTTTGTGTGTGCGCGCGCGCGAGTACTACACACAAGTGCGCTCGTCTGCGCGCCCGCCGTTGAACTTTCAAACGAGTGAGTTTCCTATGGAACTTCTACTTCAGCGAGGACAGTTTGAAGCCCGTGGAATATTTGAGTCATCGATGTAACTGAACCTGAAATACCCCCCCATTCGCTCCCGCTCCGTTTTTTCTTTTTTGTTGTTTTTGAGTCGTCAGGAAGGAGAGGGTGGAGCTCGTTTTTATTTCTTTGGGAGCGTGGAGCCTGGCAGCTCCCTCAGGGCCGCTCTGAGTCACGTCATAATTGATCTTTCTAGAAATTGGGGGAGCTGGCCGTGTAAAGCCTAAATCCGTGCAAGATGTGCAGCTTTTTTAAAGACTGACTGCACTCTCTCTCTCTCTCTCTCCGCCCTCCTTAGATGGTACGAAACGGATGAGGCAGAATAACAGGCGTTTGACAAAGCTTAATGCAGAAACGGCCTCGTGCTCATTCATCTCGGAGATGAGGGGAGGAAGCGAATAAGGCACCATTAAGGGTCTCTCACAGCAGCAGGTTTCCGAGGCTTTGAACGCTCCTCGATCAGGGGCCACTCCCATGAGCACCACGGCAAATTCCACACGACAGTGGAGAGGACCGAAGGCCTCAGTGGTGTGAGCTCGGAGGGTGTCGGGCTGGGCCGAGGGCGAGTGACTTCACCCCAACGTGATCCCTGTGAGGGGAAAATGGCATCTCGTCAGGACCTCCCAAGGATTTAGATCCCCAGTCAGACTTAATATTGGAAAATGTCCCGTTTTTTTCAAATCAAAGAGTAACTTTTTCTTCACAACTGCCTGCTCCCCTTCACAGCACACACACACACACACACACACACACACACACACACACACACCTCGGCCGACCTTGTGCCACACGCCGAGAGGTCCGCGTCCTCCAATCAAGCCCTTGTCTTTCAAGTTGCATTTGCCACTTTAAAATGTAATTAAGCAGAACAAGGTCCGAGGGGGTTATTTTTTCCACTCAATCGGCAGCAAAATTCTAAATGAGTAAATCCCCGACGCCCCGGTTCTCTCAGTGTTCGGGTAGAGGCGGCGTTGGCGAGGGAGGGAGGGAGGTGGGGGCGGAAATAATATTAAGCCCTGTCTCCACGTGTCACTTCCCCTTCAGCAGGTTGGAAGAGGCAAATTTGAACGACTGCCACGGAGAATTAAAACCGGGGTGAGA